TCCCATACGACATAGGCTATGGATATGAATTTGAACAGTCATGAACAGATCGTAGTTAATTCAAACTGCTATGCCTATATCATTTCTGCCTTTCTGTTTCTTTTTGAGTAGGGCTAACAGTCTTCCGTACGCAGTTTCATTTGTATTCCACAACCCGGCCACTTCGGGAAACAATCCCCACTCACACCACAATGCTGTTGTAAGACGCCCCCTTTATCTACAATCCGACTATCTAAGCACATGTGCATCATATAACACACACAGTAAGGAACATTAACATATGAACATATGTGTTAGTCATAAAACACACACATTAGAGCACCTTTTCCTCTGCGCGCTATCAGCTGGCGATCGTCGTCAGTCAATCCTTTGTTACGTATACGAAATTGCACACATTGACCAATCAGGGACAAGGGAACCGACGGAACCACTGCTTCTGATTGGCTAACTGATTCGGAAGCTGACAACGATGGCGAGAGAGCACATGCAACGGAAGACGGTATATCCCGCCAAAAACCGAGTCACAAAGATACCGAACTTCGGGGGGTTGGGCAGGGGTTGTCTGTGGTAGTGCTACTACGCGAAGCTTTACGTCTCCTCGAGAGACTATGCGAGTCTTACAGTCGCATCAGTCCCTCTGAGCTGGTCGAGTGGATCCGGCCCTTCCAGTATGTCTTACAGTTTGTCTGGTTTGATTATAGTTACAGATATATCATGTTGATATGTGGTCTGTGGTCTTACAGTTTGTCTGTGGTCTTACAGTTTGTCTTGTTTGATTTTAGTTCCATGTATATCATGTGATGTGTGGTCCGTGGTCTTACAGTTTGTCTGGATAGATTGAAGTTCAATGTATACCATATGTTGATGTATGGCCCGTGGTCTTACAGATTGCCTGGTCTCATAATAGTTACATATATATCATGTGCTGCTATATGGTCCATGGTCTGGCGATGTACATATACACATTTCAGCTATCACCTACTACATAACCTATCTTCGCCTGTAGTGTTCTGCGAAGTACAAGTACACACCACTCCTTCTTCTTCTCATCCACACGGCGTCTCCCTCTGTGCGATACGTTGACGTACGTTTGCACAGGTTGGCCTTCTACACCTCATGCCGTCGCATTGTGCTTCTCGTCAGGAGTCAACGGTCGGTCTATCCCGAAGGTACCGAACTTCACGATTGCATGGTCACCGCACAGGTAGGGTTCTTGGATTTACATATGCTCAAAGAACACTTCCTGCGCCAGTAATCACGACGTGTATTCAGTTCTAAGTGCGTGTGAATTCGTTTTGTACGGCGTTGGTATATTCGGCATGTTATGGGCATGTGATTGAACTATACACACAATATAACATACAGGATCATGGGGTATGTGAAGATAGATCGAATTGGGGTCATTTCAGACTGTGGGTGTTTATGTATCTGTGTGGCTATCTTTCGATATATCTGATACGTATAAATATATATACAACCTAGAGACATTGATGTATATAAACACTCACACGCACATATATATAGATACATATATAGATATGTATATA